CCATTTCTCCCTGCTTCCACTCATCCTCACAGGTAACACTGTCCTGAGTTATTTAACCATATATTAGTTTCGCCTGTACTAAAGCTTTATGCAGTATCTACTCTCGTGTTTGGCTTCGTTCACTCATCATAGTGTTTTGGATTTTTTTTTTCTTTCAATTTTATTTTGTGTTGGTTTCAGACGTACACTTAGTGGTTCGACAGTCATTTACTTTACATAGTGTTCACTCAGTATTTCCATTATCCCAACTGGCACCATACATACTTACCACAATATTGACTATATTTCCTATGCTTTACATACGTCTCCATGACTATTGTGTAACTACCACCCTGTACTTCTTACTCCCTTCACCATGTCTTTCACCTCCACCCCCCAACACCCTCCCCCCTGGCAACCATCTGCTCTCTGTGTCTGAGTCTGTTAATTTTATTTCTTCTGTTCATCATCATCATGTTTTGAGTCATCCCTGTTGCATGTATCGGTAATTTTTCCCTTTTGTTGCTGAATGGTATTCCACTGCATCAATCTACCGGTTTATCTCTCTTGTTGAAGGACTTCTGGGCTCCTTCCAGTTTGGGCTCCTTTGAACATTAGGAAAGTGTTCTGTGAGCACATGCTTTTGTTTATCTTGGGTAAATTCTCAGGAGTGGACCTGAATACTGAGGAATTGGGTCATAGGGTAGGTTTGTGTTTAACTTTATAAGAAACTGCCAGAACTTTTTTCATAATGGTTATAGCACTTCATTGTCTGTCCCTCCAGTTGTTTCACGTCCTTGACAAACTTTCCTTTCAATTTTAGACGTTCTGGTAGTTGTGTAGAGAAAATATAAAGTTTAAGGTGATTATTCTCTAAGAAGAAAGCAGTCAGATGGCCTTGAATCTTATGCAGGTGCGCGCGCGTGCGCACACACAGACACACACACACACACACACACGCAGAATTTGAAGTGCTTTTTAGAGCCAGGCATAATCAGGTGTTTATAAACAAAGTATGCAGCACAAGGATAGCAACTTTTGTAGGAACCTGTGGTATTTTAAGCTATGAATTTCCTTTCCAAAAACAAACTGGAAGCTTCTAAGGACTTAGTTTAAGAGTGGCACAGACCAAGGGCAAGAGTGTTCAAATTGCAGAACTTCCCTCTATTACCAAAATTTCCAGTATTAAAAATTCCCAGCTATCACCATAGGTGGAATATTCTACTCTTTAGGAAAAAACACTGCACTCCAGAGATAGGCTGACATGGGGACATTGAATTCTGATTTGCTTTGCTTTAGAATTCAGGTAACAAAACCTACTGATAGCAGAGATTCAGACCTTCCCCAAAATTTGGAAACAAAAAATATTTCAAACAGATGCCCTGCACTGACCCAGAGGATATTGTTCTGAGACCCCAGTTTCATAAGCATGGCCTGGGACTTACCTTCCGGGTCTCACTGTAGAGAGAGGAACTGGTTTTAGAGCTGGAGGAAGCTGGGTTTGAAATTGGGCTCTGTGCATACTAGCTGTGCGGCTCTGCAAGCCCCTTCCTCTCTCAAAACCTGAGCTTCTCTCTCTTCAGAGGAGGGATGATCCTCCCCTCCCATGAGTGCTGTGATGGGAGGCGGGGAATGTAAATCCTCTGGCATGCTGCCATCCTCTCAGAGATAGCCTCTGTCTTCCTGCCCAGAGCCCTCAGGCCCACGGGCGCCCCAGGCTGCCCACCAGGAACCCCAGCTACAAAACCGGAGGCCCCTTCCCTGTTTCCTCAGTGAGCCTGACTGAGAATTACAGGGAAATAACTTCAGTGGAACGGTTTTGTTTTTTTAAAAATATATTTTATTGATTTTTTTACATAGAGGAAGGGAGAGGGATAGAGAGCTAGAAACATTGAAGAGAGAGAAACATTGACCAGCTGCCTCTTGCACACCCCCTACTGGGGATGTGCCTGCAACTAATGTGCATGCCCTTGACCAGAATCGAACCTGGGACCTTTCAGTTCGCAGGCAGACGCTCTATCCACTGAGCCAAACCGGTTTCGGCTTTAGTGAAACTGTTAATGGCAAACAGCACCAGATGTTAGACCTTGGCCCTTGAGTTTTGGCTAAGGAAGGATTCGGAGCTAAGACTCCAATACAAGCAAAAATTTGTGTAGAAAGTCACAGAGGTAGAATCACGTGAGCCCTGTTGAAAGTGGGCCAGCTGGGCTGCATGGCCTCAGGGAGCAAGTTACAGAGGCAAAGCAAGGGCCTTGGCACTGAGGAGGGAGAAAGCAAAGGCGCACCCACACCTTGAGGGAGGACGGGGAAGGGAAGGTGCAGGTGTGCTCTGAGCGTGCCAGAGCGAACGCTGGGTCCTCCGTCATAAGGGGTTCATCTGTTTCCTGAACGTGGGGTTTTAGGGGAGGTCTCAGGGGAGGATGTCCAAAGAATATTCATCAGCTTTCCGGGGGTCCTTTCAGGCCGTGATGCCCACCAGTTTGGGGGCACCGGGGCAGGGTCATTAGTCAGTGCAGCTGGTCCTGATGACAGCCAGGTGGACCGGCTTCATCTGGTTTTGTTGCTTTTCTGAAACAGGCCTGGATGTCGTTCCTAGTTTAACCTAACCTCTCTCTGGGGTCCACAGACCCCTGGCTTTGTTTCTAAGGTTATTTGTTGTGAGTCAGAACCTCATGGTCCTGAGGGCTTAATGCTTCGGGGAGCAGTCCTGCCTGGAAGTCCTGGGAGGCTCTTCCCTGGCCCTTGTTCCTCCTCTAAGGGCTTCCCACAAGACTAGCCATAGGCCAGGGGAGGGGAGCTCAGGGCAGGGTCCAAACTACGTGACCAGTGATGTGAAAGGTCAGGGGTCTAACCCACACGATCAAAGATGTGCTGGGGGAGGAAAGGTCACCCTGGGGCGAGGTCCCACGCTACAGTACTGGCATTCCCAGTTTTGCCCATTGCTAGGCTTCCCACCTGGGTGACCTTCTGACCTGGCCTATCATTCCTTCTCTGCTCCCATCTGCCGACTATATCAGAATCATTCATGCCAGGTTGTAAATGATTTGTGGGTTTAGACCTCCAATTAATAATTTTAATTCTAAAAGAATTTATCTAAACGAATCTCCAGCTGTTAAAGGGGTTGTATATAGAAGAGATATATAACCTTCCTCTGGAAGCTTCAGTAAAACGCCGCACTGCTGGGTGTGACCGGGAAGGTCCTCAGGGGCTGTTCTTGCCCAGGGGTCAGAGTGAGCAATGCACTGGGGCAGCCACCAGCCGCTGCTAGGGAAGCGAGTGAAGGTTGGGTGGCTAGGTGGGGAGTGTTTCTAGTCTCTGCTATCTGAGGAGAGCACCCCTCAGTGGCAGATGAGCCAATTTGGGGGGTGATGGGGTGGGTGTGAGTGCTGTGGGTTCAGCTCTGAACGTGCCAAATGCAGACAGACTCCTAAGCAGAGGAAAACCCGAGCCTCCTCCACAGACGGACCTGATATCTCTCCTCTTCCCTCCACCCTGTTTCCTTTACTCTCATCCCCACCCTCAGGGTGGGGGACAGGGTTCATTTTCATCCCAAAGGCAGGGTTGGGGTGTGCATACTGGACCTTGGGCTTCCTCTCTTTCCATCTGGACAGAACTTAAAGCCCATGGCGACTTCCTGGAGCCCCATGTGCAGTCCGTTGGCCTGTGGGGGCCAATGAACTACGTGAGAAGGTTCTTTTGTGTGTGATCTGGGGAGCCATGGGACTTCGTTTCTAAAGGAGAGATGTGCTGTGATTCAGAGAGAAAAGCTGAGTGTTTAAAGATCACTTGCTTTTGAACTACAGCTGATAAACAATTTGCAAGGCAAAAGTTGTATTCATTCGGTACAGATCAAAAAGTCACACTGCACTCCATGGCTTTGTAGCAAGTGGTTTCTCTCTGAAAAGGAAAAACAGAGCGGCTCTTCACAGAAGAGATAAAAAAAAGCCCCATAATTAGGGGATGAATGAGTCACAGCTCTTAGTCACATTAAGGCCCAGATCTCACACAGGTGGTGATGATGTGGAAGGGGCTGTGCGGGGTAATTCATAGAAACCCCCTATCTTAACACTTCAGTTTCCCATGATTATTTTTCCGTGGCTCAATCCAGCGGGGACATATTACCTGTATGTGGCACACAGGGGACTTCTGGCTCGGATGGTGGGCATTGTTAAGCCACCCTAACCGTCCTTCCCAGACAGCCCTACACACGCACCTGCCTTGTTTTCCTCGTTAATTTACCTTGTTCATTAGTGGCTACGGATGTTAGCTGGTCTGAGCTACGGGCAATAGATGGGTTCAGCAGGAAAGCAGCTTGATTATAAATGATAGAGCTAAATGTGCCCCAGTAGCAGAGTCTGTTACAAACACAAGAAATGCGGGAACCCAAAGAAAGCAAATGTATTCTTTCCTGTGGTGATTACTTCACCCGTCATATGACACAGATCGAGCACAAAACCACCAGCACAGGAAAATTTAATAATGAGAAAGAACCAGGTGCTAAACTGCATCTAAAAATCAGCTCTCATTGTGATGAAACATTTGCAAATTGATCCTGCCTGTAACTTGAAGAGCTTTCTAGGAAGGTTTTTAGAAGGCGTAGGCTTATGTTGGTATTATTTTTAGTATATCACAGAAAGTTTTATAATAAGAATGAATTACAAACAGGTTATATATTAGCCTTATAAAAATCTTACATTTTTGCTCTAGCTTTTTTTCTTTCTGCATTTCTGCGGACTGTGAGAATGAGAAGAGCTTCTGGCGGGCTGGCTGTCCTCCTCTGAGCACCCCCCCCCGCCCCCCCCCCCCATGTGCTCTGGGCTCAGCATCCCATGAGTGTCTGGGCGTAACAGCATTTATAATATAGTATTAGTTGGTGCACAACCTGCATCTGTTCATGTTATCTGTGCAACTTCTCGCTCTTTTGAAGTCTTCAGAGTTTTGTAATTAATTGTTTGGCTGCTCATGCTGTATTTTAAATTTCTTTCTCTTGTTTTATTTACCAAACTTTGAAACCACTTCAGATTCACAAGATTCATCGAGATTCAGGAGACAATTCTCAGACAGGTGAGAATACTTCAATTTCACTTTTACTCCCAGGCAGCATGTGTGGGGTCAAGTCTGAAATGTACTCTGAATTGCTCAAGCAAAGCCAGAACTGAAGTAGAATGCCTGGAAGTTTTTTGAATATTCATTCATGGCAACCCTTTCTACCCAATGCCAGCCCTTCCTGGTTTTCTGTTGCCGGCTAGAGACCGTCATGCAGATAAACCTAAAATGAGAGAGTGGCCCCAAAGTCCAGGGAGACACACTGCTGTCGCACTGTCGCCAGGCCTCCCTTGCTTAGCAGCATCAGTGGCTGCACAGTTAGAACATGGATGGGCCCTGGCCTGGGGGTCAGGAGCCCTGCCCACCTGCTCAGCTTCCCATTTCCTCACCTCATAACTGGGGTAAGACTCTGCCTGACCTTGGTTTCCTCAGCTACAGAATGATGACTTTTACATTGGGAAGGTCTGAAATTCTCCCATTAGAGGGGGAAATGTGTCTACTACCAAAGATTTAAAATTCTTGTTCCTGCACACATTCTCCCCCATTAGCGGCTTCCCAGCCACTAACGCATCAAGTCAGGCCCTGGGCTGTTGTGAGTTCCTCTCCTTGATTCCACGGTGAACCATATTTTCGCCTACTCAGGAAGCCTTCCTGTGATCTTCCTGATCTTTGGTTTCTTATTTGTAAAGTGAATTACCATTGTTCATCTTGTTGTTAAGAGGATTAGAGGGGGGGAAATGTACATTACATCTATCAGTGCCTGGTATTTAACTACTTAGCATCCTTCTCCCCTCCCCTACCTTTCCCTTCTCTTTCTCAGCTCTTCTCTCAGACATTTTAGTTTATTCCTTCTAACACTTACAGTAAGAGCATTATTTTAACTCACAAAATCTGTTACAAGCATTCTCATATCCTTTGTAGTGCCCAGGATGGTCTTGCACATAGTAGACACTCAATACTCACAAAACATTAATTTAAACCACCCCATCTTGAAAAGCACGGGCTCTCTCATTTATTAGCTCTTTGACCTTGAGCTGACTAAACAATCTTTCCAAGTTTAAGTTTCCTCATCAATTTAAACTTGTACTATACAGAATTTAGAATTATTGCAAGACTATATAAGACATGTCTATAAATATTAAATATTTAATAATAAACATTAAAGTAAATATTAAAATATTAAAGCACCATCTGGTGCAAAGTAGGTACTCAGTACATTATAGCTATTTTAAAAATTGGTGATACTGTATCTTTTTTGCCTTTGAGGACAGCTATCTAAAAGTCCTTTATCCTTCTTTTTTCTGATTTTGAAATTCATTCCACAAGTATCTGTTGAGAGAATGAATACCAAATTCTTGTATTTAAATGGCTTATACTAAAGAATAATTTATCAAAAGTTTAAATTTCTGTTGCTATAATTTCTCTTAATTTTAGCTGAGATAAAGTCATCAATAAGCATTATTCATCTTTGAATAATTTCTTCTTTTTTTAATATATTTTATTGACTTTTTACAGAGAGGAAGAGAGAGGGATACAGAGAAACATCGATGAGAATCATCGATCAGATGCCTCCTGCACACACCTTACTGGGGATGTGCCTGCAACCAAGATATATGCCCTTGACTGGAATCAAATCTGGGACTTTTTCAGTCCACAAGCTGAAGCTCTATCCATTGATCCAAACCAGTTTCGGCTTGAATAACTTCTGATAAATGATTTAGGATCCAACAAGGCAACCTGGGCCAACAGCTGTGAAACTAACCTCCTACTTTAGATTTACTTAGAAACTACATTTTGAGGAATTCCTATGCTCTTTGATCTTGAATTTAATCTTAAATCTTCACTAAGTTCAATTTAATTATTATAATATCTGCAACACAAATGTCAGGAATGTATATGATTAGTAAGTCCCTGAATAGGCTAAAAAGGAATATCTTGCGAATGATCTGTTAGTTTCTGAGGGTTCGAAAGATGCCATATGATTTTAATAGTATTATTTAGAATGCCACCACCCACAGTTGTCTTTGTAAAGAAATACAGAAACTCATATTCAAGGCTAGAAAAGTTAAGGCAGAGTATGGAAGACAAAAATAGGCAAAGGGATAGTAAATGGTTTATGTTAGATTATTAAAGGCAGTGGTGTGCAGATTAATTTTATAATATTCTGCCTTTCAATTCATGCTGTAAAAATATAATTCAGGTTTAGTTACTGATTTAACCATTTTTAGTTAAATCAGATTTTTGAGGATACTAAAGAAAATGGTTAAAAAGGAGATCTAGAACAGTGTCTAAGGCATATTATGATGTGAAAACAGCGTTATAACATGACCTGTGTGTGCCTAAGAAGGTGTATGTGCAAGTGCACAGATGAATAATAGCCGGCAGGAACTAAAACGTGGCCCACACTGCCCCAAGTGCTGCCATGAATTAGCTTGTTTACAACAGCGTACGAATGAGATGCTGGAACTGCCCTCACTATACAGATCAGGACACCAGAGGACACCTCCAGGGTTACACACTACTGGTTGGACAGTGGGGACTTGAATTTTGCTAGTTTGGCTCTGGAGCTGGTCCTTTGAACTACTACACTTTCTTACACCTCTCTTTTATGCCAATGGGAAGTTCTTGGGGGGGAAAAAAGCGTTATTTCTTCGTTTTTTCTCGAAATATCATTTATTGGGTCTGAGAAATGCTGGAAGCTGCATGTATGACTCCCGTCTCAGCACAGTGGAGCAGGTCTGTTAGGAGTTGAGTTTCTCCCTTGCTCATGTGTGGTCCCACCAGAAGCATACACCTGACAATGCATGTTTCTGCAGCCCTGACATTTTTATCCCCAGTCCTCACTGCTGGCATGGCACTGTTGCCTTAGATGTTGCAGTAATGGAACAGCACATTTTGAGTGTTAAATTCAAAGTCTGTAAAGACTTATGCAGAATTTACATGCTTTCCACCCCATCCCTCTTTCAGAAAATGGGGACAAAAGTGAGAGTTTAGTTTTTGCAAATTGTTGGACTATAAAACTTTGTTTTCTTCTCTTCCTTCCTGGGATTGGCAGTTTGCATCACTTGATGAAATCACATCCTTAGAAGAACATCTAGAGGCTCAACTTTTTAGGAAAAAAAGGCTGACAATTGGTCCAAATTAGTTTCCCAAGTAAAATCAGCTCTCTGTGGATTTCACTAGTATTTATTTCCTCAAATATAATAAGAACCTTCCCTATCTAGTCAGTCAAGTGTATTGATACTTCATATCAGAATGAACCCCCCAAAATTTTCCCCAAATTTTAATGTTTATTTTAAAAGAGTTATTAGTGGGACAAAAGAATCCTTGATCATGAGCCTGTTTCCATAGTGTAATGTGGTGCCACAAGGACAGGCATCGTTCTACAACTAATATGGCAGGAAATTCTGTGTGTGGTGAGAATTTGAAGAGAAAACGGTTTCCTAATTCTTAAAAATATTTTATAGTGCTTAAGAAGTGACCTTGATTTTCTTTGGAGAATGACGGGGAAATGTGTCCAAACTTCACTTTTGAATAAGCTGGTAACTAACCACTCCCCTTATTCATCTGAAATCCTTAGAGTCTCATTCATTCAGATACAAGAGCAGGAGGAGGGAGTCCATTGATGTGAAATCAATATCATCTCGAGGCAGTGACGGTAAGAAGTTTTTCAGATTTTCTTGACCTTTTTAAAACATAGAAAATGACAGAAGAATATATAAAAGAATTCCTCAACATATAAACAAACCCAAAGGAATAGAAAGTCAGCAACACTGGCTTCTTCCCCCATAGGCAGTAGACTTTTTACAGTCTTTGTCTTCTCTTTGAAACGACTCGGTGCTTGATCCTTGCTGGCCTAAGCTGTGCTGGACCGTAACCGCCAGAGCAGGGGGTGGGTCACATGTGGCTGCTAGTGGCAGAGAGGGGACCAGAATCTTGGCTTCCTGACTCCACCACAAACCCAGTGTTCAGTGTACCTGTTATACACCTTACTGTCCTTTAATAAACGGTCCCAGATAAACTGAGACAGAATTTAGCAAAATACTTTAGTTCAGTCAGGCCTAATTAATTCATTGGATTTTCAGGTGGATGGGAAATCAAAGATGGTTCTGAGATTTAATTCCTATGAGCCTGAGAAGATAGAAGTAATATCTACAGAAACAAAAAAGTTTCCATGTATGGCTAGGTGGGGATTGAGAAGCTAAGTTTTATTTCAGTAAAAATGTCAAAAAAGCTAAAATGCAAGACTTCTACTCAGGGCTAGAGGTATGGATTTGGATGTCCTAGAGAGGACAGATGAAGAGCCATGAGCAGAGGAACATCTCGTGTGTGTGTGTGTGTGTGTGTGTGTGTGTGTGCGTGTGCTGAGTCTAAGGCTTGAAAGTACACCCTCAGTGAGAGGGAGGCAAGAGAAATAGGGCCAATGCAGCGAACAGGAGAGCTGGGAGTGAACCATCTGAGTACAGTGTCACGTGAACCAAGAATAAGAGGGCAGCAGAAGAAAGGAGATGGCTAACAGTATAAGTGCTGCAGAGATCAGAGAGCTTAAGAGCTGAGAAGAGGCATTCAGCTAGTGTTTATTTGGCAAATGAGGAGAGATTCTAGAGGTATGAGGAGGGGATGGTGAGTGACAGAAGGGAGAGAAGTGGGGTGGTAACTCGGGGGGGTAAATGGAAAGGCAGGTGAGGGATTCTTCAGTTCTTTAAGTCACATTGGGAAAGCTGAGTCTGAGGGAAGTGGCTGAACTAGAATTAAAGATGAGATGGATAACTCACAGAGTAAGATGGATACATCACAGGCATGCAAGGGATTGGAGCCAAAAATGTAAGGAGTGTGGACCAAAATATTTTCAGACGTATTGAGGATGTATTAGGTCTAGAATAATTAATGTCGTTTTCTAATACTTTTTTTTAAATCGAATTTATTTAAACAACAAAATTTAATCAACAATATAGTTGCCGTTGTTTTCTACTACTTGTGCCCAACGCTCAGGAAGCATTTCAATCCCTCTGTTGTAAAATTCTTGTGATTTTGATGCAAAAAATTCGGTCAATGCATTTTTGAGGCATTCTTCATTATTAAATTTTTTTCCAAGAAGAAAGTTTTGCAAAGAATGAAACAAATGGTAATCGGAAGGGGAAATATCAGGAGAATATGCAGGTCGAGAGAGAACTTCCCATTCCAACTGGCGCAGTTTTTCAGCAGTGATTCTTGCAGTATGCGGTCGTGCGTTATCGTGGTGAAGAATTACGCCCTTCCGATTAATCAGCGCGGGTTCTTTTTCTCTTAAAGCTTGGGCTAACCTTTCCAATTGGGCACTATACACTGCACTTGTAATGGTTTGGTTAGATGGTAAAAGTTCATAATGAAGAATTCCTTTAAAATTCCACCAAACACACAACATCACTTTTTTCGCATGCAAGTCAGGTTTTGGCGTGGGCTGTGGAGCCTCATTTTTGTCCAACCACTGAGGCCGCCTTTTCAAATTAACATACAGCACCCATTCTTCATCTCCGGTAACAATTTGCTCTAAAAACGGCAAACGGTTTTGACGAGAGAGGAGCGAACTGCAAATTGTGACTCTTTGATTATGGTGGTTGTCGGTCAACTCATGAGGAACCCATTTTCCAAACTTTTGGACTTTGCCAAGTGCACGCAATTGATTGGAAATTGTTTTTTGTGAACAATTTAAAGTTGTCGCAAGCTCTTGTTGGGTAATTTGAGGATTTTGCACCAAAAGAGCTTGAAGAGCTTCTTGATCAAAATTGGACACACGGCCTCAACCACTCTTGTCATCTAACGAAAAATTTCCCTCGCGAAATTTCTCAAACCAACGCTGGCATTTTCTGGTGCTAACTGCATCTTGACCAAGAGCACTACAGATGTTTTTTGCAGCCTCACTTGCTTTTCTTCCTAATTGGAACTCGTAAAGCATGCAGTGCCGAATATGCTCTTCATCCGCCATCTTCTTAGCCCTAGTTTTGCAACAAAAACCAAACCAAACACAAACTTTTTCAAGCAAAACTTGTTAATTGCACTTCACACGTTCTGTAGATACCACGTGTTTGAAGGTTATGTGAATACAAGTCAACGCCAAGCAAGATTTTAAACGAATGTTTAAAAACGACATTAATTATTACTAGACCCGATAGATATACAACATTGTAGATGGAAAGGATAATGAAGGAATTTCAACTAGATGAGCTCAGTTTTCTTAGTAGGGTTTGAGTTGCAATTGTCTTCTCCACAGAGCGTGGGAGTGGAGGGTCAGAGTGTGCTGTGTGGCTGCCCTGGCAGCAGAGAGGACTGCAGAGGGGCTGCGCAGCAGGCTGCTGTGTTGGTATTGGCTAGGTTAGGTGATCCCAGCTATAACATACAGATTCTGTGCCTCAGAGGAGTAGTAGGAAAGGGAGAACAGAGCTCTTAAAGTAAAGCTGCTACCTTTTGAATTTTGAACTACATGTAAGGATTATCTATTAAAAAAAAATATTTTAAAATGAAAGTTTCTACTGATTAGAGCCAGAACCACCAGGGGTTCTGGGCATTAAGAACCTAAAGGCTCAGGGATGTGCATTGCCTAATTCAGACTGAAGGGGCTCATTCTCTCCCCCATCACTTGCCTTTCCATTTACTCCCCTCCCACACTGCACAGTTACCTGTTACATGCCAGTGGCTAAGGACTGGAAGTGATGGAACTGCCCAAGATGGGCTTTGGTGCCTTATGGGGAAGTGAGTCCTGTGGGATCATTTCGCTCCTCTTGAGATGGGGTCCAGATCTAATCAGCCTTCTCTAAAATTCCCCTTGTGGGCTGGGACTCATACGGCCTTCCTGCCACCAAAGTTCCAGGCCAGACCATTCTTTCCAAGCAGTGGCCGAGCTCTTACCCTCTCAGGATTAAGAGGTGGATGAATTCATTGCTTTGTGGGAGACAGTAGTCCTTTGAGAGCCAGGCCTCCAGGTCGGGGTGGGCTTCTTCGCTGCACTCAGCCAAGCTGAGCGTCACCACCAGACACAACTTTCTTGACTTCTCCCCAGCGCCAAGCCTGCAGAACCGTCGCTACCCATCTATGGCAAGGATCCATTCCATGACCATTGAGGCCCCCATCACAAAGGTGAGTGGCAGCTGCTGCCTCTACTCCACAGTCAGGGTTACCCAGCACTGGGCTGTTTTGGAGATAAAATGAATGACATACCACGATATCATAGTTTACAGTTTAGCAGAGAAAATATATATTAAACACAATAAATAAATATAGTTATAAATTACAAAAATTGCTGTAAAGGAAAACAGTTTATGAGAGGAAATTAGATCAGGGCCTTATTTTGGGTGGCAAGAGGGGTGATCAGGAAGGGTCTGCCTGTAGAGGAAATATTTGACGTGAGACCCGAGGCATGCAAAGACATGGAAGACGAGAGGGGAGAAGAGGATTTGAGGCAGCAGACACTGCAGGGGATGAAGCCTGGGGTGAGCAGAACAGTTGAGGACCTTAAGGAAGTTGAGTGGCTGGAGCTGGCGAGAGAGGGAGGAGATGGTGACATGGAGCTTGGCAGGGCTCAGTTCATTCTGGCCAGTCGTGCCATAAGGAGTTTATAGTTTCATTTTGGTGCAATGGGAACCACTAAAGAGTTTAAAGCAGGGAGTGACATGGTCAGATACGCAGAGAATGGATCAGAGATGACAAGAGTGGAAGAGAGGCCAGTTAGGCAGCTTTTCCAGAATTTCAGGCAAGAAATGGTATTAGCTGTACTAGGATTATAACCGATCAGGGAATATTTAGGGGGAGAATCAGTTTGACTTGATTAATTACATTGTCATGGTGGGAAATTAAAGACTTTTACTTTGAGCACAGGATGGACAGGAGTGGTTTCCTACTGCAGAGTGGAAGCCAGAGAATGGAGCAAAGCTCCCTGTCTTTCTTCGTTTTGTTTGTTTACTTGCTTTGGGGAGAGGAGAATGAGTTTGGATTTGGACATGTAAGATATTCCCATGGATATGTCAGGTAGGCAATGGAATACACAGATCTGAAGGTCAAAAAGAGTTCAGAGCTGAGATATAAATTTGAGAGCCCTTGGCATACGGATGATGTGTCCAAAATCATGGAAATGCGAGCTCATCTCTGGAGGCCTGTAGAGTGAGAGGAAGGCCCATCATCAACCCCTGAGGAAATCTACCCTGTAAGGGAGCTGCAGGAGGACCAGCCAGGAGCCTGGAGAAATGCAGTCAGTGAGATGGGACAGACACCCAAAGGGGTGGGTGAGCAGCATTCCTCAATTAGAAGGGAGATGGACATCATCATCTGATTTCTTTTGAATTCTGGTAGATGGGAAGTACAATAGAATCCTAATGACCTCAAATTTCTTTCTTTCTTTACTTCCTTAGGTTATAAATATAATTAATGCAGCCCAAGAAAACAGCCCTGTTACAGTAGCAGAAGCCTTGGACAGAGTTTTAGAAATCTTACGGACCACTGAACTGTACTCCCCTCAGCTGGGCACCAAAGACGAAGATCCTCACACCAGCGATCTTGTTGGAGGTCTGATGACTGTGAGTGATGAGGATAAACCAGAGGTTAATGTGCTCCAGACTACATGCAGCATATGTACAGTACTTATACCTGTTGTATGGACAAACCAGAAAGCACCTGCATCACAATTTCTGTGGGTGGCATTAGTCAAGGAATCTTGCATTTATCTCTCTCTATAGGAGCTTTGCAAAGCTGACTGACCATAGCAGGGGAGACAGTCCTTCAGAATTCCTATTACACAAAGGCGATCCCAGGCAGTTGGCTGATATGCATGGCCCTTGTCTTTCTTCCCTTGACCTGGCACAGTATTCGGATGAGGTTATGGCCAGTCTCCTTGGATCGAGGCTCTTTATGTAAAAGAAAGGGTTTGTACTTAGACTACAGCACTATTTTCCAAAATTTTAGCTTGTAGAACCCTTTCTTTCAGTAAAAGCTTCTACAGAAGTTCCCTCTCTAATCGGATAAAGCAGAGGGAGCTGCTCTGGCTTGGCGGGGAGGGGAGGAGCCTCCCTGCCAGAACACCACCACCATGGCAGCTGATTTCCAAAGACTCACCCTGTTTTGCTATGATCTATTTGGCCATAATCATCATCTATCAGCAAGTGAAAAAAATTGAAATTATTCATCTGTGCTAATTATCAGAGGTGGGAGAATCCTTTGGGAGAAAAACAAAGTCCAAGAGTCATCTATGAGTTTTATTCTAAAGGCTGGTATTTAGCCCTACCACCAATACTGAGCGTTGACTAGCTTTCTGACCACTTCTAGTTCCAGCTAGAAATCTATGATGAGCCTGCAATCTGAGCAATCTCGTAATGTTCCCTGCCCCGGGGCTGGCCTCTGTTGCCCCTCCCAGTGCAGTGCAGACTTCAGGGGGCAGCCCCGTCAGCATGCAGCCATCCCATCTTAGTTCCTCTCCAGGTCATGCTATGAGGAACCAGTGCAGGATTCCACCACTTTTTATGAAGCAATAGGGAAGATGAGAAAGAAAGGCAAAGAAGAAACAAGGAGTCCTCTGTGATATGTCTTAGAGGAGGGGCCATTATAACATCTTTTATTCGTTTGTAAAAAATTAAGCTCTTGGCCTAAAGATCCAAGGTGTGACTTCAGAGGAGCCCTTCGCTGACGCTTTAAACCTCAGCACACACTTTCTAGGGATGACAATTATAAATTATACAAACAAATATAAAAGCTAAAAACAGTAGGTACATGGATAGATGAAGGATAGGAAACTGAGATGCAAGAACATCTGGGACTAGTTCAAGTCCAGGAGCTTAGTAAAGGCCGAACATTGGAATCCTGCCCAGTCCCTATGCTGTCCCTCCAAAGACCTCAGTCCAAACACTTTTCTTTTAAAAGTTACCAATGATGCGCAAGTTGCTAAATAGAAAATGCAGTTGGAAACAATTCAGATGTTGGTCAAAAATTAGCTCAAGCTTTTTAAGGCTTTACATTAAGGAATTCTCAAATGTGGCCTATGGCTTTGGCTCCCTAATAAGTAAATCAAACAACATAGTCCCTATGAGAGTAAGGAGGGTCCCTTCGAAATCACATGCATCCAAACCAAAGCAAGTTCACTTCTGTGATTTCACAAATGTGGCTTCAAAATTCCAGGAGAAAGATGGCATGAGAATAGAGCCAACTCACAATCCAGATGTGAGCAGAATGTAGTCATTTCCATTTTATTCTCAATTCTCCACCTCCTAAGGCTAAGAGCCATGGAAGGGAGACTATCCTGTGTCTTGTAGCTATTGTTCTGATTTAGTTTTGAGCTTCAATTTGCGAGTTCCAGATTGACTGAATTACTCATTATTCAAATCTCTTTGGCTAATTAAAGAAACGAAAATAATGCCGGCATATACAACATGCTTCTCATAGCATCTTTCTTTATTCCAGGATGGCCTGAGAAGGTTGTCAGGAAACGAGTACGTGTTCACTAAGAGTAAGTCGCCATAGAACCACTTGTGTCTAGCCTGTGCAGTCCTCAGTGTTGTGATGATTTGGTGCGGGGAGGACCTTGGTGTTACTTCCTGTTGGTCTCATTGCAATTTAAGCATTTCTATGGTCTCTACATTTGAAACCAGGTCTCATAATTGAAATTACTTATCTGAACACGGTCAGAATATTGATTGCAATTTTCTATACATTTAAACAGACTGTTAAACTGAACTGTTTTTCTATTTGGGGGCCTTGGAATTTCATAATGTAAGAGAAGAGCCCTGAAGTGAGCATCTTCCTACCCTTGGAGTTTAAGGCTTTCTCTTTATAGCAGCAGATAAAGACAGCAGATGCTCAAGGGCGCCCAGGACTCCACCATTAACCCTCTCCCTCCTCCTTCGCCACCCCATCTGTTTGCTCAGATGTGCACCAGAGTCACAGTCACCTTGCAATGCCAATAACCATCAATGATGTCCCCCCGTGTATCGCTCAATTACTTGATAATGAGGAAAGTTGGGAGTTCAACATCTTTGAGTTGGAAGCTGTTACACATAAAAGGTATGTAGCTTCTCTGGCTGCTGGCAGAGAGGACTAATGGCCAAGCTCAAGACTCCACATTGGAAACTTTGAGGGAGACACAGCCCTTGCAGTCTGTTCCTTTCGTGCTGTCCTGGAGGAGTATCGCAGAGCAGAGACGATGGCCCCTGAGCGAGCTCCTTTATGGAGGGAGTATTAGTGGGTGAGGTGTGGGATCAGCCTGGTGATGACCCCGGATGAGGAAATGCTGAGTCCTTTTCACATGTACACAGGTCATTTCTTTGTGCTAATGAGGCAAGAGCTCCAAGCATTCTCAGCCCCCGATTTGAAGCCCCATCTTACAAAATGAGTTTGAGTGTACTGGAGAGTTCTTTTTATTCATCCTAGGGACTCAGAAAGTCCTCTTCTATAGTAGGAGGCTATTTCTTCCAGGGGTGTGGATGTGAATGCCTCACACCTGTAAATATACATATGATAGGACTTCGCTGAGATCACACAAGCCATTCCTCTTGTCCTTAGGCTCAGTAACTGCTCCAGGGGACATAAAGGAAGTACAGAGCTGATGTGGAAGTGGAGATGGGGAGGAACTTCCAGGGACCTTTCTTGGCTGTCAGAGCCACTGAAGAGCATATGACTTAGCGATAATCTGGAAGTCATTCAGACTGACCACCGTTGAGGCACTTAGTTGCAAGAAGTGGCCAGTGAGGAGGAGATGTTTTTATGCCCTGATGCATGTGGAATAAGCATCAGAAGAAAAGTGCCTCCATTCCTCAGTATCATCAACGCAAGCAGTTTCTGGACCAGTGAATACAGTGACTCAGGGTTTGTCTTCCTTTTTTCCAGGCCATTGGTTTACCTGGGCTTAAAGGTCTTTTCCCGGTTTGGAGTGTGTGAATTTTTACGCTGTTCTGAAACGACTCTTCGGGCTTGGCTCCAAGTGATTGAAGCCAACTACCACTCCTCCAATGCTTACCACAACTCCACCCATGCCGCGGATGTCCTGCACGCCACCGCCTTCTTCCTGGGAAAGGAGAGAGTGAAGGTAGAACTTTAATATCATGATCTAGTTTCCTACCTAGACAATTTATTTTTCTTTTACTACAAAATTGGCCATTTGGTGTTGTAAAGACATAGCCTTTTCTCATAGCCCTCCCCTTCCCCAAATGCCTAAAATGACTATTATGCCACTATTGAGCCCTCTACATGCCTAGCCAATCATTCTCCAAGTGTTTAATTTGTAATAATTACTTAGAGGGCAATATTTAATTATTGTAGCAAATGGTTACTAGGTCTAGCGGTTAAGTTTTAGGATCGGAATTTGGCCATTGGTAAATTATGACCCAGATAGTAATGAGCTCTTTTAGGACTGCACATTTGCATACATGTGTGTGTGGTGTAGGAATGTATATGTATATCCTATATTAATAACTGTGTAATTCTGACTGAGTTCCATGTCCCCTTGTCTTACTTAGAAGCCAAGACTATTGTGTACAAGTGCTGATGTGCAGGGTAGCCCTATGTACACCCCATGTACAGCTGGCAAGAGATCCCCATCTTCCCTCCTTCCTATCACCATTGGCACAATGAAGCTTTTAATTCCTTTGCTACAATCAAAACTGAAGCTTAGACTGTGGATACCCCTGGTAGAAGGGCTGTATAGACACTGAAATTTGTATCAATCTGCAAATGCCTGACATTATATATAGATATATATAAGCTCAAAGGCCTGATACTTAGGGAGAAGCATGGTAGTGAGATAGGTAGAGGGGTATTTTCTTCTGTTTTGCCAAATCCTGGTATTCGCTTTCTTCAGCAAGAATGTAAAGAATGTGTTCCAAGAATGAAGCTTTTGAAGATTTTCATATCCTACTTTATTTATTCATTTGATTGATTGATTTTTTACAGAGAGGAAAGGAGAGAAATAGAGAGTTAGAAACATCGATGAGAGAATCATCAATCAGCTGCCTCTTGCACACCCCCCACTGGAGATATGCCCACAACCCAGGCACATACCCTGCCCGGAATCGAACCTGGGACCTTTCAGTCTGCAGGCTGACGCTCTATCCACTGAGCCAAACCTGTCTCGGCTTGTCTCCTACTTTAGAAAAAAGTGTGATCAGAGGTGATATGGCCTGTTTTCATAGCACCTTTGAGGAGCTAAGATAACCTCCAGATCCCCACTCCAGGTTCTTGTTCTCAGTTTTACACTGCAGGGTATTGTACAGCTGAGGTCCCCACTGCCCACTGAGGACAGGGCCTAAGGCATAACTCCAAAACCAAGTGATCTATAGCTACTGCAGTCTTGAGTTAAAGATGAACCTCAAGTAAGCAGAACCACTCTAGAAAAGTACAGATTAAATGCTTGATAAATTAGGGAATGCTTAGTCACTTTATTATCTCCCTCCCCTAAAATAAGAATTTTTGTTTACATTGAGAGTTCTAATGCATTCAGACTCTAGTTGAATTTCTCAAATAGCAACAGAAACAAGTCTAAGACTAGTAATAATCTTACCATTCAAAAGACATTTTCTAATTCTGTCACCCCTGCCAGAGAATCAGAGTTTAGGAACCGTGGAGAATTGGGCTGGAAGGGGCTCCTGAGTGCAGAGGCTGAGTCAGCAGCCCACTGCTTAATCCATGTGAGGAGCTTCGAGTGAGATTTATCCGAGGCCTCTTCCGCCAGAACTGCTGCCACTGACAGAGTCAGGAAAAAATGTTTTTACCAAATTCCCACGTCATCTGTTGCCCCTAACTTCTTTATACATTAAAGCTAAAAAAATTTTTAATATATTTTATTGATTTTTTACAGAGAGAAAGGGAGAGAAATAGAGAGCTAGAAACGTCGATGAGAGAGAAACATTGACCAGCTGCCTCTTGCACACCCCCCTACTGGGGATGTGCCCACAACCAATGTACATGCCCTTGACCAGAATCGAACCCGGGCCCTTTCAGTCCGCAGACCAATGCTCTACCACTGAGCCAAACCGGTTTCGGCTAAAGCTAAAATTCTTAATGTCATTGTGACACAGCTCCACAATCTCAGCCCCGCCATAGATATGCCCTTCAATTCGTGATGGACTCTGTCTGCTCCCCACTTACCAGTTTCCTGGCACACTGCAGTGGGAAGTCAGGATAACCATGTCCCTTTTGGTCTTCTATGTGAGTGAATAACTTCAGACAAGGATCTGTTCAGAGGCTGATCTGGAAGGGAGTCCATTCTGGCCAATCTGCACCCAGTCAGCATCCAATAAGTGATTATCAAATGAATGAATTCATAAAGGACAATGTCTTATAAAACAACAGCCCATTTGATAACTCTCTCCTAAAGCTGTGAACTGAGAAAGCATTTGTATCCCCCGATCTCTGCTTCATGTTCTTTAATAATGAGAGCTTTAGAAAGAGGGCTACCCTTTTGGCCTTTACCACCTGCCAGCTCAGAGCTGTATTTTGTCTTTAATAGCAAGAGTGTGTCTCCTCCTCCCTCCCCCCCCTGCCCCCCCCTCCGCCCCTCGCTTCACCTCAGTTTTCCTGGGAAAATTCTGCTCACTCTTGATCCTCTTGTACTGCTTGGTTCTAATCATTTTACCTTTATCAGTAGAGCTGTGTTATATCTGTGCCATTTACTGCCACACTCTCTTCAGAAGTATGCAAATAAAATGAGTAATATCTGTGGTTATGGGCCACTTTCTGCTCTGCCACTCCTGGGAGAGAATCATGGCAATACCACATGGCAGGCATTGAAGAGGCCTGTTTGCCTTCTTCCTACAGAAGATCAGGAGTGAATGGATTCGGGTGGGGGGGGGGGGGAGGAGGAATTAGATATCCATTTTATCCCTCCAAATAATGCACAGCCCAGCAAGGTGATGCAATGTGCTGAGTAGACAGTCTCTCAGCTTCGAGGAAGTCAGAGAAGGCTCCGTGGACTGGGGAGAACATTCTTCTAATCCCAACTCCCCAAATCTGCCCCTCCCGAGAGACAAGGATGAGTAAGTCTCCTACATCCAGTGGGTAATGCTCAACCTTGCCTCCCCTCACCCCAGGGAAGCCTGGACCAGCTGGATGAGGTGGCAGCGCTGATTGCTGCCACCGTCCATGATGTGGACCACCCAGGAAGAACCAACTCTTTCCTCTGCAACGCAGGCAGTGAGCTTGCTGTGCTCTACAACGACACGGCCGTCTTGGAGAGCCACCACACGGCCCTGGCCTTCCAGCTGACGGTCAAGGACAGCAAATGCAACATCTTCAAGAACATTGACAGGTAGGCTGTACTTGGGCTCCTGTGCTCAGGTTTGTGAAGTGTAAGTAGGATACCCAGTTTCCCCTAACTTCTCTAGTACTTAGCTTCCTCTTAGGGGCAGGAGAAGGGGAAGTAAGGACACTTTGTACCATTGTGTCAGATAGTAAAATAATAACCTTGCCTTTATAAACTTAATTGTACTTTTCAGGCTGCTTTCATCTTTTTAAATCTCATTTCAATGAGTTCATGAAAATGTTTTATACACAGCAATTCTGTGAATACTGACTACAGTACTAATAACTATAATAGATGTTTTTACCCTTGCAGGAGGACATCTGTCTTTTGTGTAACTCAAGGAAAATGTATCCTTCCCTGTCTTTCCCCGGCTCAATCCTTGGCCACTTAAAATCCTAACTCACGAGGAGACAGTATCTACCGGTCCCAGCAGGGCTGCTGGAGCCCAGGCACTGGACAGGTTTCCCCTAATTGTTTGTCCTCTCTTCTGGGGAGAGTTGGCCAAGTGTGAACAGATAGGAGCAATTCCTCCTGCCTGTCACAGCCCTGCAGTCAGGCTCTGTTTGTTTCCCACAGAACACCAGCCAGACTGGGGAGCAGGCTCCTGGGAGAGGGCAGAGAGCACAGAGCTCACCGAGGCCTCAAGCCCACTCATCAGCCTCAAGGGTTGTTGTTAAAACTTTCACAGAAAGAATTCTTTCCAACAGCCAATTTTTTTCAGCTGCAAGGTGGAAGGAACTGGACAGTAATTTGGGGCAGGATTGCTATTCAACTTCTAATTGTAATTCAGAGGATTACTTATTAATGAGAAAACCTTCTTATAATGCCATTGCAGAAAGAAATAATTCAGAGTTGAATGGCATTTGGTCCTGTCCAAAACATTCATGGTGATATGTGATCTACACCCAAAGATCCTTGAAACTTGGTCCTGTCCAAAATGTGAATAGTTAATATAGATCCTGCTGTCCACTAATATTCAAATTTCAAACCATCTACCTAACCCTATGTGTCATGACTGGTGCAAGAAATGTAATTATTAGCAATACAGTCAGTATACAATTATTAGATCAATAAAACCTGTATTAATTGTGTTTTTTACATATTAATCCTATAAACCAAAAGCCTAATACGTGCTATGGGCTATCTGAACCCAAGGACATTTCTGAGGTGTGGACGTTTTGGACAGGACCAAAGCCCTCTATACTAAGGATCATGGTGTCTGCACTGCACGCCCTAGGGCAGCTCCTAAGGTGCTGTACCAGCCTTGTAGGGAAGGGACTTGTCATTTCCTTCCACCTTGACCTCACTGTTTGATGTTACCAAGATAAGGTACAAAGGAATCACCTTGTAAAATAAGTGTCTACCATATGACAGGTGTATATATTCACTCATAAGTCACATGAGGAAGGGTCAACTGTCATTGGGGAAAATGGAACAGTGTCAGCAAGTCCTGGTTTCATGGGAAGATGAGCAGGTAAACTATTGTGATTTGCAGTCATTTCTTAACTCTGTGCCCAGCTCCCTCCTAAATTGTGGGAAGTGAGATGAAACCGTAGCAGGACAGTTCTAATTCGGGACATGATGTGAACAGGGCTCTCTGTCTTCTGGTTATTTTAGGAACCATTATCGAACACTGCGCCAGGCTATTATTGACATGGTTTTAGCAACTGAGATGACAAAACACTTCGAACATGTGAACAAGTTTGTGAACAGCATCAACAAACCAATGGCAGCTGAGGTAAGCATTTCTCATGTAATAAGATACATCAGAGTATATTTCTATTAGAGTCTTTTCTCTCTCTCTCTCGAATGCAACATGGTTATTTGCTTGAAGTTGGTAAGAAAGAGCTGAAAGTACTGACCACTTGTTTTCCTTGGGGTCAAGAATAGATTGACAGTGTCCAGAGCAACTCCGAGCTCCTTTAAGGAAGGTCCCGGATAAAACCAGCGGCAACAAAAGGAGGTAGACCCAAAGGATAGGATGGAAGGCGCCTGCCAGCAGCACACCAGCATAAATGGTTCTATTTAAGAGATCCATGCCCTTTCCAATTCTGTGCTTTGACCTGTAGACCTCAATGTCGGGTGTTGTAAAGATCTCTATTCCTGCTGGTTTGCATTAAAAGCACATCAGTACCTAAAGACTACATACAGCCCAATTGGAAGTGACTAGTTGCAAACAAAAGCCCAAGTTGTTTTTCCTCTAAAATTTACTGATGTACCTTGGACCTGTGTTAAAGCCCCTATAAACTTGAGATTGGGGAACATGGATAGAAAGTTCACATCTCTTGTTTATGGGGTGGGCAGTTTATCTCATTTTAAAGTTAGAAAAGCTTTTTGCTCACTCCTGTTGAGCAGGAGAGGTTGCATATGTGGATAGTGGATGTCTTAAAAGTAACTGGACAATCAGGAGACTACGTGTGTAAGACCCTACCACAGAACAGCCTGGATCGAAGGACAGTGTCCACCTCACCTGTGTCCCATGTCTCAGCGGTTCCACAGCACACTGCCAGGGTCTCTCCTTCCACAGAGGACTTACAGGGACGGCGGGAGGATCTGGTGATTTAGGAGGGAAAATTATAGAGAATCATAGAATTTAGTGTTGGGAAGGTCATCTATCCAAGTAAGATTTATTACAGTATCTTCCCAATGCTAAGTAATAAAAACCAGAACCTTCAGAACATAATTCTGCCCATTGATGGTCTAATAAATAGGCCCAGTCTCAAAACAATACAAACAAAAAAACCTTAAATGTCATGCCGTCCTTCAGCTTGGCAGAGCTCTAGAGAGGTAATTAACTGTTCTCACACAATTAATTCAATGGTATCTTTGAAGGTAGAGAATAGCTATCAATCTTCCAGACTTTGCATATAACAGGTGTGTTGTTGCATTAATGTAAGCCTACTCATGGACCTAGCCGTTTAGTTCATAACCACTAACATGTATGATCAGTCTTTTTAAACATGTTAAACATACCCTGGCCCACCTTTTGCTCCTAGAACCCCCAAAGCTTATATAGTTCACACTCTGAACTACCCAATCAGAAGAGCAGCCAGGAAAGCATACGTGGACACATCCACTAAGAGAAAGAAAGAAAAAGTAGGAAGAAGTGGTGAGTAGTAGAGGGATGGAGCTGGAAGGTATAACTAGAAGAAAGTGAAGAAATAATTGAAGGGTCACACGTGTTCTTACCCCATCTTTAATTTATTAAAAAAAAATTTTGCTTTTACACATTTCCTGGTAACACTGGGAGAAAAGCTCTTCTCCTTTAAGATTACAAACCGAATTACTAAAAACAAAACAAATCTGCATATAGCAGTCCCCTCTGGGAAGAGGATGGAAGTGGGGGAGTAGGTGAGTAGTGACAGGAATGTTGACCTTGTACACTCTTAAGTTTTTATGTTGCTTGAGGGTTAAGAATATATCAGAGTATTATATATGGAATTACTGATAAGAAAACGGCCTTCTCTGAGTCAGTCGTGCCTCCGTGTGCCCTAGTGAGGCCATCTAATGCCTGGTCAGTTAGCCCTTGTGGACCCACCATCATCTTGAACTAATCCTCATCCGGCACTGTTTTCCAGATTGAGGGCAGCGACTGTGAATGTAACCCTATTGGGAAGAACTTCCCTGAGAACCAAATCCTGATCAAGCGCATGATGATTAAGTGTGCCGATGTGGCCAACCCATGCCGCCCCCTGGACCTGTGCATCGAATGGGCCGGGAGGATCTCTGAGGAGTACTTCGCACAGGTACCTGGCCACAGTCGGGGAGCGTTTCCTCTCTCCTGGAACGGTCTGGCGGTACAGCACTCCAGGGATTCTCACTGCCACTTAGCTCATGACTCCTCCCTGGAAGGAACCTCTGGCTCCCTCAAGAGACTGATGTGGCTGGTCACCAACCAAAGTCTCTCTGGGGAGGAGAAATAAACTTAGCCTTTGGAAGTACCTTTTTTCATCTTCAAATTGTAAGATCCTGAACTTAAAAAAAAAAAAAAAAAAAAGGGAAAATCATTCATTTACTAGGTTATCACCATAGTACATTATGGGGAAAACAGACACAAGCCATGGGTAGCTCATCATGTAGTAGAGGAAAGATGTAGAAATAGAGATTTTTTTAAGCTATTGTGTGGACCTAAGGGAGGTCTATGTTAAGTGCTAATTCAGAAAGATTTTTTTCCCCTAGATAAAAGAGGGGCTTTGTGGAATGATGTTAGAGCTGTTTTGTTGTTAAGGATTTAGAAATGTGGAAATAAGAAAGGACGTTCTAAGAGAACAAAGCATTATGAGCAAAATTAGTAAGGAGGGGGAAAATCATAATTTTTATGTAAGGAGAGCAACAACATCTAGTTCACTTTGGCAGTACAAGATGCCATCTGAAATATAAGCCTCCTTCCAGGGAAGAGGCTCTGAGGACTGATGTGTGTGTACGTGTGGCAAGAAGACAAACGCACTTGTACCGTGTTTCCCCGAAAATAAGACATCCTCCGAAAATAAGACCTAGCGCAACTTTGGGAGAAAAAATTAATATAAGACACTGTCTTATTTTCGGGGAAACAGGGTAGCTACAAGTAATGCAGGGGGAGAGTCTCCATGGGTGTAAGGTACTAGTACCTCTGAGGTACATCAGCTGTTAATGACGAGCTGATGACATCTGAAAGGGCCAGTGAGGGGACTAGCCAGCTGAGGACCCAGTAAGCTAGCTGCAACCTTCAAGGCTGGGAAGAGAGCCCCTGAATTGAAGGAAAGTAGGACAGGCAGTTCTGGGCTTGCCAGAAAGAACAGGAAAAAACACCCAACTAATCTTTGAACAACAATGGATATTTCACGGCATCTGGACCGACTAACCTGAAATGCAGAGTCCACAGCTGCTTGGAGGTGGTTAATGGACCCACAGAGAGGGCCTGAACTCTTACTCCTAGTTATTCTCCAAGTGTGTGAACGGGAAATGGCAAAGAACCGCTTAGAGTTCTCTAATGTAGCTCCTTGTTTGGGTGTCCTTTTCCCAAAAAGGAATGCACTACTGTTCACAAGACAGTGTGACCTAAAAATCAAAAGTTACAAATGAGGCTCCAATCTGCTGGCCTGGGGCTCAACACATCTCCAGGTAATGTGGATCTTAATATTCAGCTCAGTGAATTACACCTTACACATATAAACACATATGCCAATGTGCAAAATACTCAGATGTACACGTACCTTGAGCGAACTGCCTGACCAATACCCAAATCTGGTACACAAACATAGCTTGTCAGTCACTCTTTCGAGTAAAAGAGTTTTCCCAGAGGAAAAAAGGCTGGTTCAGCTGGAATGCATGTGTGCTTTTCCACAAGACAACCAGCATCGTGTGGAGTGCAGCACAAGGGCTTTGAGTATTTTGTCACACAGTATTAAAAAGATGTAAGTCAAAGGCCCAAATTTAGAAAGATTAATTCTTACTGCTTCAGTGAGGATGTTTTTAAGTGAAACTGGCTTTCTTTTTAAACTGCAAGCAGGTGACAGTGAATAATACAATGACTGGTGGTACAATTATGTTAAGGTATCAGCAGTTTTACCCATCATTACTTCTGTACTCTCAGTGTAAATGTCAAGTTGTATTATTCAGATTACTTTGAAAATAGTCTTGACCTTGCTTTGTAGTGAAAATAGACCTCAGAAATGGGGGTATGAACCCCAAGACGATCAATGCTTCGGGGGAGGGGGGGCCGGTATAGCATAAGAGACTTGAAAGTCAGAAGATCTGAATTTATTTACTGCATCTCATCAGGTAACTGACTTACATATGTCCCAGGACCTTGCTAAGCCTATTTTCACAGGGTGTTTGAGGCACTAGAGTGCACTGTGACCGTCAGTATGTGCCCTAGAGCCCTGAGTGTTATGTCTTCCAGACTGATGAAGAGAAGAGACAGGGACTGCCTGTGGTGATGCCAGTGTTTGACCGGAATACCTGTAGCATTCCCAAGTCACAAATTTCCTTCATTGACTACTTCATAACAGACATGTTCGATGCTTGGGATGGTAAGATACTTCCTGTTTTGTCATCTACACTAAATATTATCCTTTATGATGATTACCGTTAACAACATAGACTGGGCCTAAAGGTATAAATGAAATGTTGTGTGTATTTTTTTTAAAAGTCAGCTGCCTATGGCCAGGTATGGTGGGGTGCTAGTATAAAAAAGACTCAATGAGTATTGGACAAATAAGTCTTTACCTCTTTCAAGGACCTCTCCTAAAGCTTAAAGCAGTTTTATTCTATCATTGGAAAAAAACTTCAGTAAGAACACAAAATGTATTAAGTGTACTCTAAATCATAGAGTAATTTTGGTAATGGCTTTTCAGTTTTTAATTAAAAGGACCTATTTATATTTCAGAAACTAATGCTGTGTGTTCATGTGCAGCCTGAGGTCTAAACTAGGGCACTTCTGCAATTCTGATCCCAAATTTGTCCCACAGAGCCCTGGATCTAACTTAACAGGCTTCTTTTGGTTCTTTTATGTCCTTGCAGCCTTTGCACATCTGCCAGCACTGATGCAACATTTGGCCAATAACTACAAACACTGGAAGACATTAGATGACCTGAAGTGCAAAAGTCTGAGGCTTCCATCTGACAGCTAAAGCCAAGACAGAGAAGGGGACCTCTTTCTGTCAAGGGCATGTGAATCACAGTAGTGTAAACAAGAGACTTTCCTTTATAATGAAAATGACAAGTGTAGGTCAAGGAGCTAATGTTTAATATTTGACTTGGAATCAAGTCCCCAGATTTTATTTTTACAAAGTTATGCTCCATGAAAAAAAAATGTTCTTTATAAAATCAGTGACAGAACAAACCCATGGCAAATTTGCCATGCTGTCACCCTGTGTGCACTCATCAACCATGGAGATGAATGACTGTAACTAGAAGGACATACACAGCACAGACTTGGTGTCTCTGAGCCCATCTCCCTGGATGGTGACCAAGTAGCTTAGATAGAGTTCAGCTCATATCTTACCATAAAAATCACCATCACTGTTTTAGCTTGACTATTTTCCACAAGAGCTTCAGTCTGGTGGATTCATACTATCTAAGAAAAACTATATATAAAATGAACTAGGACCAAATTATTGATAAACAAGTTAGCTTCACTGGCTAAGTGTTTCTTCTGATTGACGTTATGACACCCAAGTTAGAACCCAGCCTTGGCCTGATGAGTGCCTTCGAGTCTGGTAGCAGCTGCCTATATCCCTCTCTCCTATAAAAGGAATTAATTCATCTTAACAGAAAGCCATCCATGATGGGGAAGGGAGTGACATTCTGTTTTGGGGGACTCTATGAGATCCCCTTATTTCTGGTTAATAGAGGCAGTCACAAGGCACTATAGTATTATATAAAAGCCATTAAATCTGAATGCCCTGGGACAAGCTTTTTTTTAAAAAGAAAAAATTTCTATACATTTGCTGTTGAAAATTTTTATGAAATCAATCTAAATTTTCTGGATATAAATCAACCAAGTATGTTGTATCATGTACCATCTCTGTGTATATATTTGGGAGGGGATTTGGGAAGTTTCAAGGTTCATATGTTTTTAACCTATCTGTATTTGCAATCATGCCATTTTCCTTTAATGATGTAAAAATATTGCAAGATGTGTAAATATATTGAAAATAGACATGAGGAAACAGTAAATATTATTAATTGTATGATAAAGCTTCTAAAGCACAAGTGCATATTTTTATACAGCTCTTTTCACAACTTTCTGTGATCTACATGAAGTCAGACTTGAATATTTTTCCTTTTATCAGTCAACCCTTCTCTATGTATTATAAACTCAGTAAACAAAATATCTTCATTTTTCTTCCAAATTCTTTGTACTCATGCTGCATTTTTTAAGAGATATAAACAGAGACTGAATTAACTGAATCAGTAGATACTTTTTTCAAATGAAAATTGGAATGCAGAAAACTTGGAATTAGTACATGGGGGAAAAAATGTCTTATCATTACATAATGTGCCAATATTTTTTTAATGTTTTATAACAAAAATTGAAACATATATGACAATTCCATGCAAAGAAGTGTATCTAAATTATTTTAGATAAGAAAACTTGCTTAGTCAGGACAGCAGCTAGCGTTGTATTATAATGCTGCATTAGGAAAATGTTTTTGTGAGATACTTGTAACTAAAATCTTACAGCCATTTTTCATTTCCAACAGCTATTTTTTATCTCCTTTTTAACCTAAATTTTTCATAACTTCAAAATTTCAGTTTAGTGTCCTTTATTTCAGTTTAGTGTCCTTTATTTCATGAGTCATATACTTTGTTTTCAGAATTCAGGGTATCAGAATCCCATTTAAGGAGCTAGGTAATTTGCCTAGGCTTCAGAAGCTTGCTTGCGCCAAGGACAATCTTTTCCTGACATCAGCTGCATCACATTTTCAATTGCAGCTTATTCAGTGGAATGTCAAATTCTTTATAACTGCCAGGTACTAAAGCTTCATTATAGTTCTGCTCTTTATCAGTGTATGTAATCTACTATTGTGTAATCTTCTGAGTTGCTACCTAAATAATGCATTCTTCCAAATAGTCATTTTATTAGAAATGTGATGTGGTCTTTCAGATGGATATAAACTACTATAATTGCCTCCTATCCTGAGTTGTTTACTAAAACATTGTATTGAGGCGAGCTATATGAATTTAGGAAAATGCAATCCTATCTAATACAGAGAGGTCATATTATTACTACTACTAAACAACAACCAAAGTTAGGTTATCTGCACCAGAACAAATAACCCTACAATTTAAATCATTCTTTACTTGCAATTTAAAATTTGCTTGCCTTCAAGAGTCTTGTAGGCAAAGAACAAGCCTTACCTGTTCAATCAGAACCTCACTTGAAGAGAAATGAAAGGGATACTCCAAAGTTTAGGCTCTTGATTGTGCTATGAATACAACGAGAGAATGAGGTTAATAAGGCACACTACATAGTTGCAACTAAAATAACACCAAAAACTAAGATGGAAAAAAATGTACATAAATGTATTCTTCTAAATTAGGGCATTCATGAAAGCAAAAAACAAGTCCAGTCAGTGGGTTTGAGGCTTCCCTGTAGACCAGGGGTTCTCAACCTTCCTAATGCCGCGACCCTTTAATACAGTTCCTCATGTTGTGGTGACCCCCCAACCATAAAATTATTTTCGTTGCTAATTCATAACTAATTTTGCCACTGTTAATGAATCGTAATGTAAATATCTGTGTTTTCCGACAGTCTTAAGCTCTACAGCAGCAGGTCGCGAAATTAATTATGAAGTAGCAACGAAAATAATTTTATGGTTGGGGGGTCACCACAACATGAGGAACTGTATTAAAGGGTCGCGGCATTAGGAAGGTTGAGAACCACTGCTCTAGACAGTTTTTTATGGCAGAAAACTAACTAGAGTATCTAATAGATCAATTTGCCCTGGCAGTATTTTCTCCCAAAACTCACCTGTGGTTTGTATCACTCCATTCTATTCAAGAATACTTTCACAAATTACTAACCCAGAACAGATTAGGAAATAAAGCAGTTAAAATGATGAGTTTCTCATATAATTCAACAAATATGTCATAAACCATTAAAGAAGACAATTTTACAAACTCCTAATGTAAAATTTCCAAAGAAAAACCACTAGCTAGTAATGGAGTAAATTAAAGACTAAAAATGATTCTGAGATATTTAACCAAACTGAACAAACATCTGATGCACTCAGACCAGAATGCATGTCTGCCTGTTGCTGGGATGCTCCAACTTCAGGATAAAAGATTAGAAAGCTATTTCTACAACTCCACAAATAACAAGTTGTTGGATAACATTCATGTTCTATTCTGTAATGGGGTAACAGATTTTAATATATTTCTCCATAAAGCCATTTTTATTATAAATTAAAACAACTGATTACTTGCTTTTTCTTACATGGTAGTCATATAAATCTTTATCTTTGATTTGTCTTTAATGCCACTCAATTTTGATAAGGGAACAGAGCTAACACATTGTAAGGCCTTACCTCTCTGGGCCTCAGGTTTCTCATTCAGAACATTATGGCACTGGTCTGGCATAGATAACCTTAGTCTTCTGGTCTTTGGACGCAGTTGTGAAAGCAACTGTCAAAAATAAAAACTAGCAAAAACAATTTATAAAGATTCCATCAAGAGTGTGTGTGTAATGAACAAATAAATCTGCAGAAAATTTTCTTTGAGAAGGATCAGTCTTCTGACATATCCGTCCACCTTGCACTTACTTTACTAGAATTCTTTCACCAACAGTTTAAATTTAAAAATAACTCCAATACTAAACTCACCCATTTTTAATGTGTGGAACACTTCTTAATTTTTATTCTTTAGTACCAAAAGGGAGAAAGAGTGCTCTGATATAAAGCCGGTGGGTGATGAAGATGATTAAATCTCAGTGGCCACTGCAAGAAACTAAATGAAGCCTGTCTCAAGCATTTCATTTTTGAGTCAATGGTAAGATGAACCAGGCACTTTGGACTGTCGTTTCTGACTGGAACACTTTCCTCACACAGCTCTCACCCCTGGCATGTATGAGGGCAGCAGCTAGTGTAGCACCAATCTAGCGAACAGCTCTCTTCAGGCCAATTCACACTGGGAAGAAAAATACATCCTCATAAGATTCCTACTGATTTGAGTTAATAGGAACTTTAGTAGCTAGAACTAAAAATATAAAAATCATTTAACAAATTAGTTGGCATCAGAGATTCAAATTTGCTCTATAGAACCTTGATAATTAGTTATTAAAGATGAAAGGAATTTATAGGAGAAGGGATATATTTAAATTAATCACAAGGATTCTTAATCAAATGGGCTCTAATGATAACCAAGGAATAAAGAACTTCTAGTTAATACCACAACTTTACTGTTCTGTTTGAACCTCGTGAACAGCACTCACCACGTCAACAGCACATGTGCAATTATGCACTCTCCATTTCTTACGGGAAGAAAGTTCTCGGGAGAGCTCAAGGTTTACATTCAAGTTATGCTACATCCTACCTCTTCTTCAGTGGGTTTTTCCTCCCAAAACACCTATAATTATCATGTATATTTATTTCCTTAAATAAAATTTTAAAGAAATAAAAAAGGATATGTAAGCTATTCATTTTGGAGAACAAAGGTATTTCAAAATCCAAAGACTAAATGAAAGAAACTATATGCATCTTTTTAAAAATCTAATGATAAGAATTGAATGTAATAAAATTATACTAAACAAAGAAAGAGGTTCTGAGTACTATACTCATTTATCACAAACTCATAATTTCTGGTGTAAAATTTTCTAAAACATAAATTTTTAAATTGTAAGGACATTATGGTATACTTTAATTCTGTATCAACAGATACTTGTATTGTGATCTGAAAACTTCACCTTTTGAAAATTCACTGCTAAAATACTTGTGGTATATTCTTTGGTGGATATACTCACACGTCAGAAGCAACTTGTTGCTGGTTTGCCCCCACAAAAAAAGAATTCAAACAAATCAAAATTTTATAAAGTAACAAGAAAAAAGTACATTACACATTTAAGTGAGTACAGGTTAATGGTTTTCAGAGTATTACACTGTATTTGAAGTTCAAGTTCATGCACATGTATTCTAAATTCCTTAAACTAGGCAGGAAGATACAAGTCACCATTTTCCTCTAATTTTTGAAATAATTTTAAACTGCGCAATCCAGATTCACGTTCTCCATTTTTCCATAAAATAATGAGATGATCAGCGGAGCATGTCACTAGTCCATGATCTTCAAAGTATAGAAACATCTGTAAAGAAATTTAAAACTACTGAGTACAGGAACTTCAAAGAAAAGAGACATAGCCAAATTAAAGCAACACGTGTGTTTGTAAAATGTGTACCTTGGAGATGTCTTTAGATCTGAATGTAAGACTCCATATCATTTTCCATGAGAAATTTTAAGTGTTGATTATAGTCACATAGAAATATATAAGTGCTAAAAATATAAGTACTAGACCAATATCTAATATTTTAATAATTAGAACTTTAATAATGCCCAACTACAGAACTATTACAGCTATTTTTATAATATACATTAATTCCCAGAGTATCTTCTGTATTTTACCATATTATTTTCTTCAAGTACTAGTTTTTATATTTTGTCAGAAGTCCTGTAAGATCTATTTTACTTAATCACTTATACTTGCCTCTTTATTTATACACGAATGGCTACCAAAAAAAGTCTGAATTCTCTAAGATAAATACTGGCTTTAGATCTGTAAATGAAACAAGATATAATCCTATCCATACATAAGCATTTATTGTCTATATGCGTATAGTCCTTACCTTCAAGAAAGTTCAATTCAGTTGCTGAAACAATTAGGGCACCAAAGACTGTGTGATAAGGTACTATTAATATATAATAAGTAGTTCAGATTATAATTTGTCACAGAAATTCAGAGAAAGAGGACATAGGTCAATAGTAAATGAAAATGTCAGAGAAAGTTTCAAAAACATAAACCTATCCAAATAAAGGGAAGGTCATACCAAATGAATGAATAGGCTGGAAATTCAGGATAGGAAAAGGGAATGTTGCTGAGAAGGCAGCATGATTACTATGGAGTGGAGAGAGGACAGGAATGAAGTCATGAAAAGGATGAACTCCTCCAAGGAAAGAATGAAATAAAGGATAAAAATAACATTAAAGAACACAAGAGGACAAGAATTTTTTTTGAAATAACTTCTACATTTTGAAGATAGCAGGATGAGGCCTCAGCTGTTTATATAGGAGTTAACATTGGAACAAAATTCCTTGGGACATGAAAAAGAGCACACAGGGGTTGGATTACAGAGTATAGATGAAAATATAATAAAAGGAATGAGAAAATTCAGGAGATAGAAAATCTAGTCTCTCTGATACTGAGTGAAGCCAGAGATACAGTTTTTGTTTTTTTGTTTTTTTAAAAAAAAGCTTTTAAGTATCAATACTTTCAGGAAAATTCTTAAGAAATTTACATTTGTATATTATGACAACTGTGCAACTTTGAAGGTTCCCTCCACCACTGAACAATACGTGTGAAACTTTTAATGGATTCCTACTATTTTAAAAAGAAAGTCCAATCTCCTCAGCCTTACATTCAAGGACGCAGTGGTGGGCAAACTCATTAGTCAACAGAGCCAATATTAACAGTACAACAATTGAAATTTCTTTTGAGAGTCAAATTTTTTAAACTTAAAACTTCTTCTAATGCCACTTCTTCAAAACGGACTCGCCCAGGCCATGGTACTTTGTGGAAGAGTCACACTCAAGAGTCCAAAGAGCCGCATGTGGCACGCAAGCCGCCGTTTGCCGACCACGGTTCAAGGGTATTCATAATCTAACCCAAAACTACTTTCCCAGGCTTCATCTCCTATGCCAGCCCATGTCCACAGAATCCCAATGCTCTGGCAAATCTTTTCATCGCCTCCAAATAGTTCCTATTTTTGTCCTTTTGTCTACCACATTCCATCTTTACCTCTCCCATATACCCAAGCTAATGAAGACAAAGTTAAACAACAAAATAACTGGACTACTTGCTAGAGGAAAGCAAAGATGATTACCCAATATCTGGGAGCATCAGTCCTACCTAACTTTTAAGGTTCAACTCAAGTCCCCTATCTTTCACTAATCATTTTCTTCTCATTCCTGACTCTCCACTGTCTGCTATGAATCTGAGTCCACACAAGAAGCCTAGATTAACAGCTTACTAGGTCTGTCTCCTTTCTCACTACTAAAGTATAAGATCCAAAGGGCAAGTATTACAGTTTTATATCTCCTTGTAAACTCCACTGTCTAGTGTAGTGCCTGAAATGCAAGAAATGCTCCCATTAAATGTGTGGTAATTCTGCTCCTAAGCATAAATGCACTTTCAAATGAGAAGTAATTTGTTTCTCCCTGGCTATGAAACAGGAAGAACAATTTAATAAAGTCATTATTTGGGGCCTTGTTTATACTGCTATCACACTATTACCAGTTCCAATCATCTATTTATATTGATTATTCTTATTCCTTCATTATAGGCAATGGTGCCTATAAAAAATATTAATGTATTTGGATTACCACAAGTTAGAATTGTATGCATTTTGTAATTCTCAACTAATATTTTCATGTATGCATAATAATAATCAAGAACCTGGGTTTTATTAAAGCTGACAAATTA